CCCTTACCAAAAAAAAAAAAAAAAAAAAAAAACGTTAAGGGGCATTGCATGGGAAATGGCAGGAACTCCGACATGGATACGTACACCTCAGTGGTGAGGGAATGTCGAGTAGGACATCGTCAACCACTCTAGGCTGAGGGCGTGCGTAGGCTGAGTGTCTAAAAACGGATCCCATTATTGCCAAGTCATCAAGAGATCAATCTAGCAACTGGTCCCCTTGTTGTCATGTCATCAAGCGATCTATAGAACTAGTGATGATGTTATTGCCACGTGATTATCCGGTGTATGTAGCAACTGTTTACATGACGTCATTGCCATGTCATCAAGCAACACAAACGAGTCGTTACTCCATTGCCACGCCATCGAGGCGAAACCAACGAAGTGATTACCATCATCAACGTTGTTGGGCTATGGATTTAGCTCAGTGGGACTCGATGCTTCTCATTGATTGGGTGTGGGAGCATTGATCCGCGATTTTCTAGTGATTGTTGAGTGGTGTTGATGCGTGATGTATCTGACTCTAGTGACATCCACAGCTCTGTGCGCCCTGAGTCTGCTTCTGGCACATGTCACTGTCATGTTCTTTGATGTCTTGCTGGGTCTTCGACCGAAGTTGTGCTGTAGTAGTGTTGTAGTCGAAAAAGAAAACCATCCCCCGAATCATTTGCCTTGCAGAAACGTCCAACTTATGATGTTGTAGGGAAAAAGAAAAAGAAAAAAAAAACGCAACAAAAGACATTGGAATCTCAAACTTCAAACGTGCGAGGTGAAACCTTTTTTCCGACGTGTAGTATGGGTACTATTCATCATCGTAGGGAATCTGTCAAACTTGGAACAGCATGAGGAGAGAAAAGAGTAATCAGCATGGCGGCTGCGCAACAACGGGAGAGGCTATATGCTGACTGCTACATAGTCTGGGCAGACTCCTCCCCCTAGTAATCGAGGGGGATGCTATGCGAACCGTCTCGTTTTGTCTAAGCTGGAAAATATTACTCTCGTCATTGCATAGATTTATGCTAGCCGTATGCCTTTTGAACTTCTGTCAAGTGAACTTGATTGTGATGACATGCAAACGGGTGCTGTGGAATGAAAAAGGCACAGTGGTGGTGTGAATATGTCATCAATTCCTACCAACTGTCTTTTCCCATTTTGAGTATGTTGTCAATCTCTACTACTCCAATGTTTTTCCCAATGGCATAACTAAACCATCTCTCCCAGAATACAACACACCATGTAGCCAGATTCGAATTACTCCCTTCATCCATGGCGAGTGAGGGAAATGCCAATGCTAACTTTGCTAACCATCTATCGAGGTAACAAAAAGGAGTAGGAAAAAAAAAACAACACCACCACCCCGAGCTCACCCTAGTCAGGGCGCACTCACACAAGTACTTTACATAAATGAATTGGACTGCAATTATGGCTAGACGTGGAAGACTCTGACTGCAATCAATCCCAGATTATGGTAGAAAAAGTACTACTGCGGGTGTGCCCTCATTGTCCAGGAGCTATTGTGGTGCCGTACTTCAAGATTGTGACCCCGTTGTCTACCCCATACAGTGAGCGCCTGCTGCCTCGCAATAGCCAAATCTCAAAGAATAGTACTCAGACCAGGATTTTTTGGACAGCACATTTGGACGTAGTTGCTGGCAGTAAAGGACAAGGAACGATCACCGCATGGCAAGGCATTGTGCGCCATATATCTTCAAAGGCAAAAAACACACTTCAATAGAAAACTGGAAAATAAAAAGAAAGAAAGAAAGAAAAAATGATCACTCGGGCGTGCACCTCACGTGTGTGCACTAATTCCTTGAACCCGCTTGTGCACCTGTCTGCCCGGTAATATCTTTCCTCAGTTTCCTGTGAATATCAAAGCTGAATGTCCAGCGAGTAGGCTCTTTCATCGAGATTGATGTTGAACAACAAACTAAACAACCCCCCCCTTCCCCCCC